GTGTGTGTGTGTGTGTGTGTGTGTGTACTTTCCTTGGTAGAAAAAAAAAATGGCCCTCAAGTCCTTATCAAATCAATACCAAACACTGACTCACTGCTTGTGCGTAAAGCATCCCGCTAGCCACTGGGCGGGAATCATGACAGAGGCAGTAACCGTTGAGCTCTCCCACATCCACACGTGGTTCTTACACGGAACCCGCGTGTCACTCATTACATCACCAGGGCCCTTGGGGGTAAAGACTGTTGCTCTCCTTGTTTTTTTCTTTTTCTTAGAGCAGCGGTTCTCAACCTGTGGGTCGCCACCTGTGGGTCACCACCCCTTTGGGGGTCGAACAACCCTTTCACAGGGGTCGCCTAAGACCATCGGAAAACACATATAATTACATATTGTTTTTGTGATTAATCACTATGCTTTAATTATGTTCAGTTTGTAACCATGAAAATACATCCTGCATATCAGATATTTACATTATGATTCATAACAGTAGCAAAATTACAGTTATGAAATAGCAATGAAAATAATTTGATGGTTGGGGGTCACCACAACATGAGGAACTGTATTAAAGGGTCGCGGCATTAGGAAGGTTGAGAACCACTGTCTTAGAGGGAATGGAAGGGAGGGAAGAGGAGGAGAGAGAGAAACACATGGATTGGTTGCCTCCCTCTGGCACCCCAACTGGGGCTGGGAATCGAACCTACAACCCAGGTATGTGCTCTTGACTGGGAATCCAACCCGTGACCCCTCCATGCCCAGGTCGACGCTTTATCCGTTGAGCCACACCGGCCAGGGCGCTATCCCCATTTTAAGGATGAAGAAACAGAAGCACTTGCCCAGTCACAGAGCTAGTGGTGAGGAAGCCAGGCCCCGGGGGCTGCCACTCTCCCGCACACAGCAGCAGCCTCTCTCAGGAGGGCAGAGAGAAAGCTGCCTGGGAGGGGTGTGCCTGTGCCTGTGTGTCTGTGTGTGTGTGTGTGTGTGTGTGTGCGCGCGCATGCGTGTGGGGGGGAGGAGCTGTGCTTACAACCGCCGTGCCTGTAGACAAGACCCCCCCAAGCCGCCGGGAGGGAGGCAGCCAGGCAGGGCATGGTTCTGTCTGAGTTTCCTAGGGCAGCCGTAACAAAGCCCCACAGACTGGGAGCCTTAAACACAACAGAAATGGGTTCTCCATTTCAGAGACTAAGTCCAGCATCAAGGTGTGGTCAGGCCGTGCTCCCCGTGAGC